AATTCTGGATTCAGCCCACTGAAAAACAAATAAATGCAATGGATATTTTCAGCTCTCTGATTAGGGTGCCACAGTTGTGCAACGCTTAGCTCTGTTGATAATGCGCTAATTTAAAAGACCTTTTAAAACAGCTGTTTCCCTTCAGGGAAAAATGCACAAGTTATTACCAATTCTCACTTCCATTAAATCATTTGAAGAATAAAACATAAAATTCAGCTAGAGCTAGCATGAAATAACCTACACGAAGACCCCAAGTGTGCACTTGAGAGCAGTCTCCTCCAAATGCTTTCTAAATCCTTTGGGAGGGCCTGAAGCTATTTTCTGTTTGTCTAGTCCTATTTCTCTACTTTTAGTGCTCTTAATGTTGTATCATTTAGACAAGTAGCTCTATTTTTAATTTTGGATCTGTGTAATCGTTTCTTAAAGATTGTGTTGAGTCAGGACTGGCAGCAGACAAACAGGCTTTTCAAGAAGTGGGTTGCGGCTTTTTTAGGAGGAAAAAATATCTGAATCACTTAACCATTTAAGCTCTAGTTCCAGACTTACAGTCAATTAACTGTTTATCCAAACATTTAATTCTCTCTACAGTCTTCTTTACATGCCTTCATTTTACTGCCCCTATCCTAGGAAGAATGATGTCAAATCTTATGTCCACTTGAATCTTACTTTTCTTTTTTCCTCAGTAGAACAGCAAGCAACATGCCATCATATGGTTTCTGAAAGCCTAGTTATGTGGCATGTGCAAGAAAATCTGTTTTCCCTGGGTAGACGCTAGAAGAAATATATGCTCTGCTGATAAAGAATAGAATAGAGCTGCCAGGTTGCTGACGGGGACTGGGCGTTGTTCTTATATAACTCCAGTTCTCCATCAGCTCCACCGGCTCCCGATTGAAGTCCGGGCCCAATTCAAGGTGTTGGTTATGACCTATAAAGCCCTAAACGGCTTGGGACCTGGATATCTAAAGGAACGCTTGCATCCATATATGCCCTCCCGCCCCTTGAGATCAGCAACAGATGCCCTTCTCCAGGAACCCTCTGTGAATGATATTAGGAGGGTAGGTACTCAGAGGAGGGCTTTCTCTGCGGTGGCGCCCAATCTATGGAATGTGCTCCCCAGAGAGGTCCACCTGGCACCGTTGTTATTTGTTTTTCAGCACCAGGCTAAGACCTTTTTATTTAAAACTTATTTTAATTGTTAAATTATTTGTATTTATAGGATTTTAAATTTTTAGCTGAGATGCACCGGAGGTTTTTAAATAATTTTTTATTGTTGTATTGTTATTTATTTATGTATTTTGTTTCTGTTGTGAGCCGCCCCGAGGCTTTGTTGTGATGGGGGCGGCATAAAAATGTTTTAAATAAATAAAATAATAAATAAATAAAGGAACATAACATCCCAGTAGTTTCTTTGGATGCTGAGCTGAGTCATGGAAACAGATTGAAGTGTTGGTAAGCATTGCACTCAGGGCCCTTCTCCATGATGGGCTGTTTTTATGTGCAGGGAACAAGTGAAACCTAAACTGCCATGACTTCCATGAGCAAACTTGTCACTGGGTAAGATCAGAATAGAATGCCTACATATTGCCTGTTTATATTGGCAGTTCTGCCAAGGCACAAATTTGGCCAGCAGTCCAAAGTTTGTCTAAGGCATTATTTGGCCATTAATATCTGCAAGGGATATAACTTTATCAAAGTTATGGAGACTTGGAGATGAGCCTGTAAAACATCCACCCTTGCCCTCTGTTCCTCCCTGCTGTATGACCTCACACTCCACTGTGTAGGCAGCCTGCTATGCAGAGGCCATGGCCATATCAGGGCTGGGTGGCTTGGAGGTTGCAGCCTTGACCCCCACCAGGTGCTTCAGAGGCCTCCAGGTCTTTGTGTACAAGCTGCTACTGTGGGCAGGAGAGGAGAAGTGCTGTGAGAGGAGTGCAGCAGTTCTAAGCAGGAGTGCAGAAGGTGCAAAAGGCACAGGAAGAAGGAAGGTGTGGCCAAATGGACTGCAGTAGCCTGAGGCAAGCCACAAGCCTCTGCAGACCCAGGAATCATCATACTCATGATCTGTGCTGTGCTGGGCCACAACTGGCCAGTTTAGGCACCTGGAGCTTGGCATGCATTCTCAACATCTCATGATGTTGAAGCCTGCAGGAACAACTTCAGCCATGAGGGGCAGGCTTCCCTAAACACAGCATAGTTTTGCAACCAATGCCGTTTGAAGCCAGGAAAGACTTACGTGTGTGAGTCAGGCCTCCATCAGGGGACTATGAAGGGCAGAAAGCAAAGGGGGGAAATGAAAACTGGGTATGCAGGACTGAAATGTATTATACTAGAGAAGACATGGCTGGAACCCTAAATATCAGCTCTTCCAGTAGAAGCACATTTTGTTACAGGGCCCAGTTAGTAGCAGCAGCAGCGGACACTGTAGCTGTAGTAAGATAACTGTTATTTTATGATTACTCAAATGTTTGGCAAGTACTTCTGCTAAATGGTTCTGAGTAAGGATCAAGCCTAATGTGTTGCCAAACATGTCACTTGCTCCAGTTAAATCTGGGAGGGAAGCATATGCAATTCATAACATCAGAAGAACAAAGAATGGAGAACAAGGGGGTCATGGATTACTGATAGTTACAGCCACAGCTGACTTACCTCAAACTTCAGGTTTGAGGGAAACCCCAGGCTGAATTAAAAATTACACAAACTCTATTATTTGCTGCTATGTCTTTAAAAAGACAGACAGACAGAAGGACAAAAAAACAGCAAGCAGGGAGAGGGTGCCTGATTTTTATGGGGACTAAAACCCATGAGAAAAAGGGAATTAGATCTTGCCTTCAGCCTCAGTCCCATGCTGTTTTTATAAATTACTTTGATGAGGGTGTTGATGGAATTCATATCAAATTCTTCAATGGCGCAAAGCAGGAGATAGCTGCTGCCATGGAAGACAGAATCAAGGTACAAAATAATCTTGACAGGCTGGCACACTGGGCTAAAAACAATGATATTCATCACCAATAAATGTAAAGTGTTATAGTTAGGTATGCAATGTACAAGTGCAGAATGGAGAGAAACCAAGCTTGACAGCAGTACAACAGATCTAGTGCCATTGTGGATCACAAGCTGATCATTGGATTAAAAATTCAGGGAAACAAATTTCAGCCAAATACTGGGATCAACCTCCTAATAGTAAGAACTATTCCACATTAGCACAGACTGCCTCAAGACATGGTGGACTCTCTTATGCTGGAAGTATTGAATCAGAGGCTAGATGGGTATCTATCAAGGATGCTGTAGTTACACCCTACCTTGCAGGTGCTGCACATAGATGTCCTCCATGGTTCCTTCCAGGTCTGTGGTTCTACAATTCTATGACTGTGAGAGTCACAACCACCACTAATCAGATTGGTATTTTCCAGCCAATAAGGACCCTTCCTACTTTGTGAAATATTGAGCTATTGGCAAAGATCCATGCAAGGGTCCCTTCCTGTGTAGTTCTGATATTCATGCTAGTATCAAGACAGCCAATACCACACAAACCTCTGAAAAATGTATTAATCATACTACTCTTTTTCTGTTGTGAGGTGTCAGCTCACAGTTGTAAATGACCCACACTTATGCAAGGCAATAAAACTAAAGTCTTTTATTGCTACTTTTCTACAAGATTTACGATGCTACGAATAAGCTCTACTGCAATGACCTTTACAAGTTAGTTGCTATCTTCTTAGTGACATCCCTCAGGGAACCCGCGTGGGACTAGCTTTCTTTGTCCCACCTTTCCCCCCTGAGGTGGGACAAAGCTTCTTTTTGTTCCAATTGGTGTAAGGAACATCTAAGAGTCTCACGAGACAAATCTATCCCACCTCCTGCATCTTCCGTATCTTGTTCAGGAGACTCAGTGTCAGGAGGAAGGGGGGTATCCTGCCCATGCTCTTCAGGGGCAGAACTTGCAGTGTCTTTTACCTCGGGGCCCTCGTGGTTGGACAGAGGCTTGGCTCTTTGCCCAAGGGATAAAGGGTCAGGATGAGGGATGGCTATCTGTTCAGCTACTCCCAAGCCAGGTTGTGGAAGGGTCACTTGGCCACAGGGCCTCAAGTATAAGTCCTCCTGTTCTGATGTCTGATTCTTTCTTTGGGCATTTGACTCTTCCTCGTGAGGTGCCGCCTCTGTTGAGGCATCAGGCATGACATTTTCCCACTTCATTCGTATTGAGCTCAGCCAATCAGTGACCATATCCTGGATGTTATTGTTCCACAGTGCTTTGTTGCAAATCAGATTAGCTATCAGCAAATACAACTAAGGGCAAATGAATCCTCTTAGTGAGAGCACAATGCTTCCTGTTTTGGTCTACAGATGTGAACAGAAAAGAGGAAGAAGAAACACTTCTGTGGGAGGGATGTTGTTTTTCTGGGGGGTGATGATCTTGAGGAATTTTGGGGAACAATGGGGAAAATGTCCGGTGTACTTTTTTCCTTTTGAAATTAGAAAAATGCTATTAGGGCAAGGTTTTATAGTTATAAAATTTAACTTGCTATCCAAATGTGTTATTAGTATTTAATACTGTGACTGTATGATACTAAATAATACACTATAATTTCCTTCAGAACTTATGTCTTTTGCTTCAACTTTTGTTTCCTGATTCTCAGATGGCAAGCTTACTGCATAAGGTGCAGTAGTGTGCAGCTTTCTTGCTCTCTCTCTGGTATTGAGTATATTTGCAACTTTGCTTATAGTAAATCAATATATTTATGTTTTTCAGACTGTTACCCTACATCTGCTTTCCTGGGAGCAGGATGAATTGATTAAATCAAGGCTATTAAGTCAGTGGTTTCAATGTACATTTGACAGGGACTGCTGGTGATATGGTTTTGCAGATAATTCTTAACATCCTAACCAAACTACAATTCCAGGGATTTGGAGAGAAGAGTCATATGAGGGTTATATGAATAAGAGAAATCAAGCACATATTTTAGCAAATGATAAAAATATGTTTTCTGCTTCTACAATAGGTCACACAGATCGACCAAAAGCTAAATGATATCCTGAATGCTCTACAAACTCAATTTGGCAAGCAGCTACCGGAGTGGACATCTTCTTCAGCTACCCCTAGATCTAGGCAGTTACGGTCTTCATCAGATTCTCCCCCTGTGAGCCATAAGATATGAAGATAGCTGAACATGAATAATATCTCACCATCTTCTCGTTATTTCATAACTTTATTTAGCTGGTGTTGAGATGTTTGCAACTGATTAAATGGATCCATGAACAGAGAGACTGAGGCAAGACAAATCTCCACTTTTCCTTCCTTTTAAGTCTGATGCCTTCATCATCCTTTCTTTTTCACATTATCAAATGGGATCAACAGGATGTGGCAACACTCAGCAAGACCAGAGACATAAAATGTGTGGGAGCAGCAGAACTTCCTCCAAGCAACAGGATTAGCCGACTCCATATGTTGGGATGGTTTTATACAGTGCTTAATTTCTACAAAAGTGAAGTCAAGGCTTTAGTCATGTCTAAAAACAGCATCCTTAGATCTAGATGCCCTCTTTCTTATTCAGCAGCTGTGTGAAGGAACTCTGTCACTTGATACATGAAATGTACTCTGTAGCTGCTTAAGGGCACTTTCATCTGCTCATAAATATATTCTAAGACAGAAAAGAGATGCCAGAGACAAGGATGAGCACAAAGTCCTGGATTTAAATAACTTTTTTTCTAGAAAGGGGTAACTTTGAGACAGAGAGCAGCATATCTATCCTAGTTTAATGAATGATTAACAGAAGTGGTAAACAGAGTCTTTTGCCACTCCTGTGCCTCATTGGCTGTTCCAGTGCTGTCTGATTGGTACCAATCACTGTTACATAAAATGTAACCTAAAAACAAGTTTAGTTTTCAAATGGCACAGCATAGGCACTGCAAGATCACGTGGGGCTTTCTCTTGCTAATAGGGCTGGCTGTGCAAGGAAACAGAGGGAGAAGGAGCAGCTGCTGCAACAGGTTGACCCTTTTGAACCTTGGGACCCTTTGCAGCTGCCCAGCCATGCCAGACCCAATGCTGCACCTCCCATTCTCCATGGGGATTTCTCATAAGGCATGGCTACAAAAGAATCTCAACAGAGTAAGGAAAGCAGTGTGAATCCCTCTTTATTTTTTGCAGACAGAATCCCCTCTGCTTTCCATATTGTTGAGCTTTCAAGTCAGTTTTATTTCTCAATAAAATAAGTATTCTCCTTTATTTCCCTGGTCAGTAGTCATAATGTACAAAAAATGCCCCTTTTTGATAGTGAGTGAACTTTGTGGACTTTCAGTCTTTGGCCTGCAAATCCTTGATGGTCCAAACTCCATGTTACTGAGTGACTTTTTGCAAGGGAGCTTAATCAAGAATCTCTACAAATATAAGAGAAATACAGAACAGAAACAGATTGAAATAGAAAGCCCTGCTACTGGGGTAAGAGGGAGACTCTGCCTCAAAATTTCAGTGGGCCAGTAAGGAAAAGCCTGATGAGCTCAATAGGGAACAGTGCAGAACAGAAGGGGATTTTGCTCACAGTGACTGTTCAGATGCCTGGTGAGAGCAGGAGGATGGGGCAGGAAATATAGAAGCCATGCAACCATCTGACCTTTAAGCAAAAATCCATGAGCTTCAGCAATCTTGCAGGGCTGTTTGCCAGCAGTACCAATTCTTCTTGAAATAGCTCTTTTTCACACAGAAGATCAAGGATATGCAAAATCTGAGACTCTATTCTTGTTGACATTTGTCTTTCTTTATACTAGAACCATATGTGATTTTTATAAAGTGGATCGAAAGAATTACTCTTTATGTTCTCAACTGTGCTTCTCAGTCCACTTTCAAAAAACAGGCTTTGCTTATTGCAGCATGTTGCATGCATACATACTATTATCCAAAATTGTGCATGATGTTCTTCACTCAGAAGCATTGGCACAATAAATCTGCTCATCAGGTTGAATCCAGATTGAGAGGTATGCAACTGAATTGGCAAAAGATACAATGCTTCATTCAAGGCATTCAGCAGGAATTTCCCTGCTGAATGTAGTGCAGGGAAAGAGTGTTCTTCCAAATTGGACCAGGCTACCTTCTGCAAGCTCTGGCTGAAATGACAATGCAAAGCCAAGCTTTCCATAATACAACTAGGATAGCTGCAGTGAACCAGGCCAGAACAATAAATGGAACAATAAATGTGATTTGATTGGGACTAAAGGTTCTGTGTAGGAATAACGCTGACAACAAACAAAAAAGGCCAAGCAGTTTCTGACAAATTTATACAGGGAAAATTAAGGTCTAGAGACAATAATAAAGGACAATACCCAATTGGGGCAGACCTGGGGATACTAGATGGTCCAAATGACCATCCAAGCCTGACAGATGAGGCTTCTACAACTCTGCCAGCCTTCCTGTCTGCTGGTCCTTCTCTGTTCCACCATGTACTTCAGGAAGTGGAAGTCAGAAAAGCTGGTGCTAGGAAAACCCATTGCAAACCAAGCCCAAACTTCAGAGAGGATTTGAAGTTAGTGCATAAACATTAAGGGTTTTCTGACCACTACACTTTATTTGCAAGTTATTAGACTTCAGCTATGAAATTTTAAATGCTGGAAACTCCTACCAAATGACAGTATGTGGAAATTCCACATGCAGTAAGTCTTATTACTGAATTCCCCTGCAACTATGAATGTGGTAAATGGACATGATGTAGATGGAAGCTAGTTGCTATCTGAATTAATCAACTTTGTACATACAGTAAATTGTTGAACTTTTAATATAATTTTGATTGTACATATATGCTGACTGAGGTACAGTGTCTTTAAAATCTCCATGTACAATTACTTATATAACAAAAAAATCCTGCCTTGCACTTCAGGAAAATATTAAATGCACCAATACTGATAAATATTGTACATAGCACACCTCAGCTGAAAACAAGTTACTGTTTATTAAAGCCTCTTCAGACATTTATTTTGGTATACAGTTTTTCATGGAATTATCTGGCTAGCTGGTATGTACTATTTCAGATGATGATCTAGATGTGCAAATGTGTAATCACACAGACAGACACACCATGGACAGAACTTTCATATTGTTTCAGATGCAGGACTTTCCCATGGAGTTGGTTGCTGCTATCAGTTAGCACTTATTAAAAGCACAGCAATCAAATGTAACAAAATTATGTGATGTTCACCCATATGTGTGACGCAGTCTTACAGTATGCTACTTTAGTTATTGGGTAATTTTTAAAGTAATAAATTAATTGATAAATTAAAATAGTTAAGAGAGTTGAAAGGAACCTGTTGAATCATCCAATCTGAATAATAAAATGCAGCATCCCAACAAGCCAATGCTTGATCTGTTGATACACATGACAGGGGGATGCTGTAGCTCAGTGGTAAGCAAAAGGTCCCTGGCAGCATCTCCAGGTAGTGCTGGAAAATGTCTTGCCTGAAACCTTGAACAGAGTCTACCAGTCGGTGCTGAAAAACCTGGGCTAGATGGATGTAGGTTCTGACACAATGTGAATCTGAGGTTCCTCAGGTTGGTACAAGTTATTCTCCATCTCATTGAACACTAAGCTGGGGAAAGCACTATACATACACACCATCATGAATTTTAAACTGCTTCTACTGAGAAATCTGCAGTACAGAGCAGCCTAAATAATCTTAATAATAGGTATGCCACTTGAACCTCCAATAACTAACAGATTTTAAAAACACAAGTATGATGAAATAAGTTAGTTGCTCTTAATTAGTTGTCCCATTTAAATCATTGCAATGTATGGCTGTGAAAGTTGGACCATAAGGAAGGCTGAGCACCAAAGAATTGAGGCCTTTGAATTGTGGTGCTGGAGGAGACTCCTGTGAGTCCTTTGGACTGCAAGGAGATCAAACTGGTCAGTCCTAGAGGAGATCAACCCTGACTGCTCTTTAGAAGGCCAGATACTGAAGATGAAACTGAAATACTTTGGCCACCTAATGAGAAGGAAGGACTCCCTGGAGAAGAGCCTAATGCTGGGAACAATTGGGAGTAAAAGAAGAAGGGAATGGCAGAAAATGAGGTGGCTAGATGGAGTCATTGAAGCAGTCGGCGTGAGCTTAAGTGGACTCCGGGGGATGGTGGAGGACAGGAAGGCCTGGAGGAAAGTTGTCCATGGGGTCGCGATGGGTCGGACATGACTTCGTGACTAATAACAACGACAGCAACAACATTTAAATCAATTTTAAAAGTTAGCACTTAAGTCCCATTGATTTTGTTTGGTGCACAAATGTGGCTTAGTTTTAAGTTAGTGGCATTTAGTTCCAAGTCCTACCAGTCCTATACTCTTTTGATATAATCAGTGTCTCCACTCAATCCTAATGGGGCTGTGTGCCCATCACAGACCTCACACTGCTCCAGGCACCAGCCAATATTTGAATTGGATTGATAGCCTTGGGATCTGGGAGACTTTAATTTTGCATTCAGAACCTCATCCCTGTAGTCTGGTTCCTGGCTGCATTTGAAAATGACAAAATATTGTGCACCATGGAAAACAAGCAGTTTCAGAAATAATTGTGCTGAGCACAAGGTTTTGCCACAATCCAGAGAATCAGGTGATTACCATCAGTTTTATATTTTGAATCAAATCAGGGAAGAAGAGAGATGCAGGTTCAGGGAAAAGCTCAGAAACACAGACACATATTGCTTTGTAAATCCATTCTGTCATTGTTTAGAGTATACATTGTCACTGCTTAATTTCAGACCAGCATTAAAAAGAAATAGATAAGGAGATAGCTGGAAAAGGCTCAGGTATATTTATTGCTGGTAGATTGTCTTACTGCTTTCTAGTGTGCCAGCTAAAACCCCAGGCAAATAATATATTCTTGATTTAAAACATTTCCACAGAAGCATGGTTCCCCCTCAATTACATCTAAATCAAGGAGGAATAGAGATTCCTGTTCAAGCAAAATAAATGAAGAATATCAAAGAATACTTAAAACAATTGTTATAAGATGAACATTTATCTGCCACATGGACTCTTCTTGCCATCACATCCAAATGATGGCCTTCATAATCTGGAGGGATGGAGTATTCCTGTTGTGACCATAACTGATCTGACTCCACAATGACTGAGTTTGGTCACAGGTGGTGAAGGAGGAATGGGATGTCCCCTCTTGAACT